GGGCGCATTATATGACGTGATCAACAGTCTGAACAAAGCCAGGACGCCGAAACCCTCGGTCACAATGACTAGCTCAACCACCGACGGCCCCGAAATAGTTTTGACCATTCAATTTCACTCACAAGGCTTGGGTCAACTCCGTGGTATAGTTTTCAGGCAATTTTCAAAGGTGCTGCACGCTGGGATCGCCTCCCCAGGAGGATAACTTAAAGAAATCACCTTCCCGAAATGGTGAGATTCGAACCCGGATATGTAGCAAGCGTTCTAACCAAATAACATATTTATTATGGAACCGTGATTAGTAAGTTAGTCACACAGAAAATTCGTGTGTGGAGAATTTGTTCCGCCCTCTTGGACGATTGTCATTACGTAACAGTCAAGCACTCCTTTCTTTGTTTTTAATGCAATTTTCCTGCTTTTTAAAACTTTTTTTAGAATTTGGAAAGCATCATTTGTTATTGCAATGCGCCTTCGGATTTCGGCGCCACATATTCGTTCTTCTTTTTAAATACTCCTCAGATAGTTGAAATAATTACTTAACTTTGACATCTTAAATTCGTAACTCACATCTTGGGCTTTTCCTCTTGCGGATAGAAAATTCTTTCTTTTTATAATTGTTATTAGTCTTCTCTCTCTGCTTTCCTTTACTTCATTGTCTACGTGTTCATGCCTTTTTCTTTGCGTGTCTTGTGCTGTTAAGATTGTGCCCACTAACAATAAATTCTTTTAGGTTCCCCAGCCCTCTTATGATCGCCCGCTGTAAGAGTTAAAAAAAAAACCCGTTGAGAAAACCCACCCTTGCCTTATACTCTTTTCTATTTGTGTTTACTTGTCCAATTCATTTTCTGTTCGTATACAAGCCGTTTGTTCCCAGTAGATATTCTGGGTTACTCTAATATCTAAGTTTTCTTAGCTTTTCAAATAGACTTTTGTGCTGTGTCGTGCCTTTTCAAAAGCTTTTGATTATTCTATGAAAAAGTCCTTTTGAATTTGTATTGCGCTTCCAGATGTCATTCTGGTCATAAATATTGCATTTCTTGTTACAGTGTCTTTAACGAAACACCGCAGTTCTTGTCCTATTTCCGGTCTAATACTGCTCCTACATGCTCTGCTTATCAGAATCCACTGTGTTTTATGGTGCATTAAGCTGATGGATCTCTCATTCGTTCGCACCTGGTTTCTTAGGCAGCGTTATAAAAAGGTATCTACTCAGGTCTTCTGGTATGTCGACATTGTCGTATAGTTTATTTACAGTTTCCCCAATCTTGTCAATTCAGAAATCGTCATAGCCAGACAGCATCTCTATGACAATCATAGCTGGTCTGGTTGCTTTGTTCCTATTCATTTTGGTCAGTGTTGATCTTACAGACTATTCTAGGTCCTTGCATATTTTTGTGTATTATGAGTATCTTTTCTTCTGTATCTGTCTATATTTCTGAGATGAGGTAATATTTATACACTATTCACATTATTCGGACTATTGTCCTCATCTTTTTCCCCATATCTATTACAACGTTTCGGCCCTTCAGTATCTGTCTATATTTCTGAGATGAGGTATTATGTACACTATTTACATTATTCGGACTATTTTCCTCATCTTTTTCCCCATATTTATTACAACGTTTAGGCCCTTCAGTATCTGTCTATATTTCTGAGATGAGGTATTATGTACACTATTTACATTATTCGGACTATTGTCCTCATCTTTTTCACCATATTTATTAGAACGTTTTAGCCCTTCAATATCTGTCTATATTTCTGAGATGAGGTATTATTTACACTATTTACATTATTCGGACTATTGTCCTCATCTTTGTTGCCATATTTATTACAACGTTTCGGCCCTTCAATATCTATCTATATTTCTGAGATGAGATATTATTTACACTATTTACGTTATTCGGACTGTTGTTCTCATCTTTGTCGCCATATTTATTACAACGTTTCGGCGTGAAAGAGTTCCATCTTTGAAGTATTTTTCTTTCTCTATTACGAGCGTTCTTTGTTTCGATGTTATGCATCTTGTCGAGGAGCAGGTCTTCAATCCTATTATTTCTTTTAAAATTTTATGGATACCTGCCTTATTATCTTTTCACACTTTTTATTGAGTCATTCATCTTTTGCCTGCGTGAATGTTTTTTCTAATGTCTGTGTTTAATATTCGATATTTCTTGCTGTCTCTTTTATCATCATCTCAAGAATTTCATATTGCCAACCATTTTTTTCTATTCCGCTTTTCTTGGTTTTATCTCATTCTTCGGTGTTACTACAGTTTCTTTTTAATGCGTTCCACTTCGAATTTGCAATCCCAAAGGGTTCAGTTCGACATTCCAGCCACCTAAAGAAGGCTGGAGCGTAGAACGGCCGAAGCGTTGTAATAAATATGGCGACAAAGATGAAGACAATAGTCCGAATAATGTAAATAATGTACATAATACGTCATCTCAGAAATATAGACAGATACTTATTAAATTTTATTTTAACTGTCAGTTGACATCATTTTGTAGTTTGGTGATTTTTAAAATAAGATTCACGTACAAAATATTAAAAAGTATTTAACAGTATGGATGCATTTGATACAATTCAAGTTCAGCAGAGGAACATATCTTATCGAAATCTGTTGACGTATTTCTTGGGACATCATGTTTTTAAAGAAATCTGTTCAGTCTAAAGTTTATCTTGATTTGAAACCGACTTCGGGAGTCACCGACAACGGGCGTCCGCTGAGGTTTAGCGAAATTTAAGGTAACTGGCAACATATTTTTCTTAACACTGTTTCCTCACCTACATTCTTCTCTCTGTTCTTTCTTCTCAAATTCACGATTTTATAAGTAAATCCTTTATAAGTAACTGTACTCCGATTTTGCTAAATATTATGTGACACCATTACTGATACCAGTGTAGCTTAAGCAGTTAAAAAAAAGAAGAAATATTTTCAATAAAAAGAATTACTAAATATGGTATTTTATAATTTATTTAAGAATTCAACCAATTCACTTATATTGAAATGTCTTTCTTTTATACAAGGGTAAGTGAAAACTTATCCGCACATTCGCCATAATATATCTTTCCAGTTTTCTTACTGCTTTTACAGTGTAAACATGGCCGCTGCGCCAGCAGTGTGAACCAAAGAGAAACAAAGAACAATGATCCGATTTCTCTGGTCGGAAGATGTGTCAGAGGCTGAAATTCATCGGGGACTTTTAACACAATATGGCGACAGTGAACTACCGTGTAAAAGTGTTTATGAGTGGATCGAGAAGTTTAAAACTGACCGGACAAGCATGACACACAAAAGACGGAGCAGAACGCCGGTCAGCCTCCACCACTGACGAGAAGATTCAGGAAGCTCGAAAGATGGTAATGGCGAAACGGCGAGTTATCATCGATGACGTAGCATATTTTCTGCCGATTCGGATCACTGCTCTTTGTCCTTCCTTGATTTACACTGCAACAACAGCAAGAAAACTGGCGCCATCAAGCTTAAACTTCGATCACGTGATCACGACAGTACCAACTATAAGCACGCATGTGCAGAAGGCACTGTGACAAACCTGAAGATATATTACAGCGAAAATACAGAAAATTTTTTTACTTACTCTCGTAGGTGCTCCTCCAAAAATCTGGAAAATCAGAACCTAGCATCTCATCTCTCCTCTGGCAATTTCTAGACCTTCTGCTAGCAAAGTTGTGTTATGCTAGACAATTTTTCTTGAGAAAGTCTATCTTACATATTTATAAGCCTACCATTCATCCTTACTTTGAATATTGCTAACAAATCTTGTCTGGTGTTTCGGCAATATATTTAAAGATCCAAAGAAGAATCTGTAATATTATTGGTCCTGACCTGGCATCTCACTACCAGCCACTTCCCCGCTGCCTTTTTAATATTTAACAAAATTGTGTTTTATATTGCCCAACTTAGGAGGTCTTTCATAATGAAGGTCATTTCTATAGAGTTCGAGCATTTATTTTTATTCTGTGACTATCATTCCCAAGAGTGATTGATTGATTTGCTTTTTATGGATTATCAACATTTTGCAGGTTATTTAAAGCCAGAAAATGTTTTAGAGTGTAAGAGTTTTATGAAGATAACAATGTTTTTTCAAGAATGACCAGAGTTACGAGGAACCAAGATATGCTGTGAAAGATTGTTCTTCAAGAGCATTTGCAGAATATAAGAAAAAACAAATGAATATATATATATACAAACTTTATAATAAAGACTACATAAAAAATTCAATTTTGTCACATACATATGTAACAAAATTATGTCTTATGATTCCCAACTTCGTAATTATTTCATAATGAAGATCATTTCTCTAGATTTCGTGGATTTATTTTTAATCTGACATTTTTATTACTTCAAATGTTATTTTTAGTGGTTACATGTGTTTGAAATAAAATCTCCTTATTTTATTTTTAAACAGTGTTTATTAGTTCTACCAGCTTGCACAATCAAGAAAAACAGGGCGTCTATTTTAAACATGGTTATCCACTAAAAATTATTTTTGAAGTATTAAAGATATTGGAATAAAAATAAATCTGTTAACATCAGCAAGAAAAACTGGTGCGATCACGTGACCACAATAGTACCAACTACAAGCACACATGCGCAGAAGGCAGCGTGACAAACCTGAAGATATATTACGGCAAAAGAGTGGATAATTGTTTACTTATCCTCGTATCTATCAAGCTTAAAAAAATATGCAATCATTTAAGCAAGTACTAACTCAGACGCAATATTTTTGGCTAAATATTAACCCAAGGGAAGGTTCAAGATCCACTTAAGGTAATTGGATACTAAACGAGGTAGTTGCATGAATGTAAGAGAAGGAAGTAGATGCAGTTTATGTAGATATGTAGGATAGATAACAGTTGACCTTAGACATGATGAGATCAAGATTACAGTTTTCGGGGAAGCTTCTCATGAGCTATGTCGTCATAGCAGTTCTTGGAAAGGAGCTATTTGAGTTGAACTTTCTCCTTGCCAATGGAATATGGAGGCGCTTAAGCAAATTATTTTGAATTTAATTATTAGTCAAAATCCGAGAAAATCGTGTACTTTTGTCACACACGTCTCTTTCTCTGTCTCTCTTTCTTTCTCTCTTTCTCTCTCTCTTTCTCTCTTTCTTTCTTTCTCTCTTTCTTTCTCTCTTTCTTTCTCTCTCTTTCTTTCTCTCTCTCTTTCACTCTCTCTCTCTTTCTCTCTCTTTCTCTATCTCTTTCTTTCTTTCTTTCTTTCTTTCTTTCTTTCTTTCTTTCTTTCTCCCTCTTTCTCTTTTTCTCTCTCTCTCGCTCTCTCTCTCTTGCTATGCGTGTTTCACTTTCAGGATCGAGACAAATATAAAGACAGTACGGAATAAACAAAGCAACCTTCAACAATTTACGCGCATGCGCACAAATACAACGAAAAGCATTGTTTCAAACAAACGAATTTGACATTAGAAAAAAAAATAAACATTAGGTTTTTGTGAAAGTTCTATATATATTGTCAACAATTAAAATTAGAGTATTCAAAGTGTCAAGAAATTCAAAACAAAAACGAGTGATAAGGTTTATTATTGTTTCCGGTGACAGCTATGACGTAAATGACAGTTCATAAGTCAACATGATTGGAGAAGAGTTCAAGGTCAATTCACTTCCCTAACCATCGATTTCCTGGGAAAACTTGGTATCTATAAATTCAGGTCAACAGCGAAACCCGATTGAAAGAAGATTTTCATTTAAATGCTGCCTTTAGCAACCTCTACTCGCTATCTAATCACACTCTATAGAATTTATACCATTTTTTGCAACATTAATAATCAGTAATTACCATTATTATTATTATTAAAGTATCGTCACGTATATGTTCCTTTGTTCAACGCGTCCTGGGTAAGACGATAAACTATGTCCATCAGCAAGGCCTCTGATCAGCAAGTTTTGAGCAGCGTGGAACCACCTCTTAATTGCTGGTGTTCCCAGGTCCATCCTGACCCGGGGTGGTAGCACATGTTAGGGTCCCAGCTATGGGCAAATAGTTAACACCCAAACTTGTGTAAAAATAGGTTTTAATGCCAGAAATATTTTGTAATAAAAAAAATTATTACCAGCAATAATTTTTGAAGGAAAAATTATTATCAGCAATACTTTTAAAAAAATACCAGCAATACAAACAATTATACATTCTTTGAAAAAATTATGACCAGCTAAAGATTTCTTCAAGGAAAAATATTCCCAGAAATAGGAAGGAAAAATTATTATCAACAATAAAAATTTTGTCAGTATTAAATAACCCATTGAGGTTGATATGCCGTAAAACAAACCAAACCAAACCAAACCAAAGCAAAGCAAACCAAACCAAACCAAAG